CATCAAACGACTCTTCTCCTTTAGTCAGGGCCCTTGGATGACTAGAAGAAATAGTTCAATTAGATGATTTTTAAAAAATAGGTAAGACAGAGGGAAACTCACACAGGTGGCATCATAGCAGACTTCCACAGCCTCTTGGAAATCATTATTGCCTTTTAATATCATAGCTACTGTCCGGCTTAGAGTTCTTTACTAAAATGAAATATAATATTAAAACATGGCGCTCTTATATTACAGAAAACAGCTCTTTTCTGGGTAACCGTATTATGATATAGGAGACAATATGAATATTTCCTTTTCTTAACTTTTTTAACAAGATATTTAAATCGCACTCACTGATTTATTTATTTATTTATTATAGCAGTAGCAGGTTGTTTTGAACGAAATAGAGTGTACTTTGTACACGGTAGGTTATTGCATTTTTACCTTCCGGGTCTGGTACAAGTGATCAAAAGAGAAGGATTTTTTTAATTAAGTGAACTCTAATACAATAGCATTTTTGGTTTATCTTGCTTTAAATCTCTTACTGTTTTTTCCTTACATTCAGACATTTGGCCACCTAAATGAACATAATTTAAGATTTGGATAAGCAATGTGTTAACGTGCATAAATCCACGTCCTTCATTTAGCAAAATGTATAAAGGAATTAGCAAGTGAGGGCAAGACAATAGTTCTTAAGCTACAGAGGCGGGGGAGGGGGGAATACCCCACTGTTATTCAAGCAATGTAGTGGTGATCATTTTTGTAACTATACACTTAATTCAGATCAGTGGTCAGAAATTAGTGTAATGGAATATTGCAAACAGCGTTTTAAGAGACCCACTCGCGTGCTTACATAAAGGTAGAGCTGGTAGATCTACTGTCATTACAGTGGGCTGGAGTCTCTCGAAATGCTCCGGGTTCTAGCACACCTGACATTATGATTTCGAAACCTGCCCTTGAAAGCAAATCCAGAGGCAATAAGAAACCTCGGCCCTGTTTCAGCTGATACCGAACTTTGAAAAGTTGTAGCTGTAAATGTGGCCTTGCAGGCTGGGAACTGCTCTGCCAATCGGTCGGGGAATATTTCAGGCTGCCTGCATTGTCCGGTTTCTCCAGATCACCTAATTAAGCACAACAGGCCTCGACTGTTGCAACCCCACCAAAAATGGTAATGAAGCTCGCCTATTGATCTGCCTTTAGAGTGATCTTCCACGCCCGTTATCGTCTGGGAGCGAAGCTGTGCTCTGATGGTTGGATCCTCAGCGTACACATTCACATTCAATTACCTGAGCTGTCATGGTAATGACGTTTATACAAACCTGGCCCGACAGACTCCAGAGCATGGCTCTGACACAAGATGGGTCCTTTCAGGAGTCCCCTCTTTTTGCAAGAACTATAGAGACTCATCTGCCAGCTCCATGTGAACCTTAATAGGAGTAAAACAACAGTTTACTCTCATGGCACTTGAAGACAAAAGGGGAGTTCAAAAGAACATCGAGGGGGGAAAGAATTGGAGAGAGACGAGATACGCCCACGAAATTTCGGGAGGGGGAGGCAGAAACAAACAACCCCAAATGTCTGGAGCCTTCATTGCTCACGCAAAAGGTGTAGGTATGTAGGTATGACATTGCTCTGTGTTGGCCGTGAAGCGGACGCTTCATCTCCCAGAGACATCTGTGGCCCGGGGTTTCGCCTGGAGATTCAGGGAAGCACGTTTATCCTCCAGCTGGGTAAATCCCTCCTTGAAGGTGAGAACTTGCTGTGTGGAAGATTGCTCAGACCTGTAGAGCCAGCCAGCTGGAGTGCAACAAAAGAAATGAGCGTGTCTATTTAGAAATCGGGCCTTAAATTGCCCTGCCTTCACCAAAAGCAAAAAACAAAAAAACCCCACAAACAAACAAACAAAAAAACATGCCCTTCATCAGCATCAAATAACCCCCAACTGGTTCAAAAACACAAGGCTGCCATAATTCTCTAGCGAAGTGTTGGAAATGGCTCCCAACCCTCAGCCTCTTAAAGAGCGCATACCAAAGTGCCTGGCGGAGGGGCCGAGACCCTGAAACTGCGCCACTAGATGTCCAGATACAGTCAATGGTCGGGTTGAAAGTGTCACGGGACGTTTAGAGGTCGATTTGGTTAAAAAGACTTTCGGGGTTTTCAAAGGCAATGCAAGGTACTGCCCAAGAACCCGATTAGAATTAACGCTGTGGGTAAGTAAGGTCGTGGCGTTCCGGATTTGCCGAACAGATCAAAGAAACACATGGGTGGAAGGTGCCTGTCTGAACCTGGAGAGGCATGGGCAGCCCGGTGCGCCACAACAGAGAGTGACTCAGCATTCGTAACATTACAGAATAATAAAGAACTCGTCAGTGGTTTCATTAATGATAGAAATCTTGTCCCATCATGGGGCGGGGGGGGTTGAGCAGAGTTAGTTTTCTCTGGTCATTTTGCTGGATACTGTTAAGCTAATAAACTCCGCACCTAAGAAACAACAAAGTTTGTTTCGTCCTTATGCCAAATAGCTTGCAAAAGAGTTTCTGGCTGCAAATGTGTTTGTATCATACTTTGTATAATAAGATCGTCGGTTTTATTTTTTATTTTTTAAAGAACCGTAGTTATGCAATAGAAAACATCGCCCGAGCAGAACAAAACAGTGTACAAAAGAAAAAGCCTTACAAAGACCAAAAAAAAAAAAGAAGAGAGGGAGAGAGAGACGGAGGAAAACAAAAGCCACCATGTTAGTGGAATAACCTCGTTAGACTAAAATGCTGATTTTTTTCCTCCGAGCTTTGACTTTGGTTTATTTAAAACAGTAAAGTCTATATGTGAGGGGGGAGGGGTTTGCTCAGGCTAATCAATAACACACACCCCCCAGTATGAAAATCGAGTAGTGGTTGCTTCTTTGATTTCGCTCTTGTACTTTTCTCCACGCCGGAAGCCAACATGCAAAAGCAGCAACAACAACTGGGGCGAGGGAGGGGCGGGAGGGGGGAGAGGGAGTGCAATATACACATGCCCAAATCTAGGTTCGGCTTTTCTCCCCCTCCAAAAGAGCTGGGTTGTTTGGATAAAGCCTTTTGTTTGTGGGTCCTTTATACCTGTGTCCATTGTTGCAGGTTGTTGTGCTGGAGAGCAATTGGACTATTGTTGCTATGCTAATGAGGCGATTAGGCTGTTGGTAAAGAGCTGGAAAAGGGAAAAGTTTCTACCATTAGAGGGAGATCTCAGAGCGCTCACAGGAGCTCTCCAAACACTCCACCAGCCACACTCTGCATACCAGAGAGGCTCCACTTTAGTGAAAGACAGGGAGAAACAAATCCGCTCTCGCGCCAATCCATGAAAATGCTTTGGAAACTGACGGATAATATCAAATATGAGGAATGTGAGGTAAGCGCTTCCCTGGGCTGGGGGCAATCAACTGGCCCAGCAGCTGTGAATGGGACCGTGCAGCATCCATCGATCCGTGAATTTCGTTTAGGAAACTTCTGCTTCTTCGCCAGTCTTCTTTGCAGCCTTACAGTTGGAAACAATGGCATTGGGCTAGGGAGCCTTTAACCAGGAACTTTGGGGCTGTTGGAAAATCGCTTTTGTCAGAAGTATATGAGAAAAAAGCAGACTGGAGAATATAATAGCATCTGTAGCTAGATCATGTATGTAGTCCCTATAATGATTCCATCCATCAATATGGAGGGATGAATGGATGAATGAAAAGGCAAAGAGAAAAAGAGGAAATAATTATTTTTACACGAGAGATGCCAGAGTGATCCCAATATTTACCAAAGACTGATGCTTAAAATGATATTTTGGGTGTAAGGGCTAGTTAGTAAAACTGAGTTGTACAATGATCAAGAGTCAGTGGATGAACTAAAATCAAACCTTTTTGAACGTACACCCAGCCTCCTAATTAATTGTCTAGCTTTTGATTCTATTATTTTAACAACTTTTAAAATAAAATCCGCCTAATTATTTTTTTTACTTTGAGCGACTAAATATACATGTCTGTGGAGAGAGAAGGGGGGGGTGTAGTGATATATACAAAAATATTCAGAACAAATGGACAGAATGAAATCGACAAATGCTATTTTTAAACGTTTCGCAAACGTTGCTGTAGGCAGTGCATCTAAACAGACTAATAAAGGGTGCTGCTGCTTTTTAAAAAATATTTTTGTTGTACTCTCTGTAAGAGTATACACGTCGAAACCCGAATCTGGTCTTTCAAGGTACATATCTTGGGTCTTTCATTTCCCTCAGAACCCGCTGACTTCTTTTTGTAAGGATATAAATAGAAAGGAACCGGCGAATCACTAGACCCGAAGATTACTAAAATAAATATGTTTTAGTGTGGGGCTGATATTTGGGGGTGATTCTGTCTACAAATGATAAATTGAATAGATTGAGTGCAGTCCTAGCTTGTCTTCACTGGGAATCAGAAGCTAGCTTTATATGAATGATGTATCAGGGTTTCCCGACTCCCAAAATATTTCTCTACTGGTTTAGGAGAAAAGCAATTCCTCTTCACCCTGGATCGGTGTGTAACTGTGCGTGTGTGGGTGTGGAGTTTGTTGTAACTATCCTTTGTTGCCTTGTGCTATTGTGACTTTGCACGGAGGTGCTAAATCCAGGTGCGGATCTACAAGCCCTGGTGTATTAGTTTCGGTGATTTCTTCGAGAGGAAATAGCAGTTCAGTCTGGTGTCTTTTTCTGGCTTGGAAACAGGAGTTTTAAGTGTCCTTGCAGGGCAGTAATTAAGATTTTCGTACTCGCTCTGAACAGACTGGTATTCGACCCTGGGATAGTGAATAGGATATTTTCAAAATAACAACAACAACAACAATAATCATAACAATACATGTGTGACACACGTTCTCCTGAGATGTCACAGCCGCATTGTGTGTGACAAGAGGCGATAGCATCAGCTCACCAGGTGACAGAGAAACAGGCAGCAACTTTTTCAATGGCAGCGTGCCGCGGAGACATGGTGATGTACGTTTCAGCGCGGGATTAAAGCTTTATTTGGTTAGGTGTGTGCACAGTTTTGTAGGAACATGCAAGGAGGCAAAGTGCCTGTTGTTATGATAACCCCGCAGTCAGCCAGCAGCAGCGGCAGCCGATCGGGAAAGTGGAGCAGGCATGTCATCTTTTAGGGAGTTGTTGTTTGGGAGTTGCACAGCCAGTCCGACGGGTTGTGCCGGGGCTGGGAGCCCCAGCTTGTCAGGGCCGGGAGTCGCCTCCCTTTCCGTCCCCTTTCCCCCCGACCGCAACACCCCCTGTCCCCGATCCTCCCAGCGGGAGGGAAAGCTCATCGGATGCACTTTGGGGCTCCCCGGCTCCCCTCGCCCGGCTCCAGCCGGCACCAGAGCGGGGCTGGGAGGAGAAGGGGGAGAGACAAAGTTTCCCAGCTCGCTTCCGGGACTCCTTGGAAGGACGCGGCTGGGGCTGAGCCCCGGCGCCTCTCGCCTGCCTGATTCCTCGCTTGGATCAAGCGGGGTCTGAACGGCAAAGAGGGGATCAAAGGTAGAGGGGTAGGCGGAGGAGGCGGCGCTGCAGCCCGGGGCCCCGGTCCTGCACTCTCCGCGGCTTTCGCTCGGGCTCTCGCGGCTGGCTGGGGCGGGCTGAGTTGGAGCCGTCGAACCATGGAGGTGCGGCTCGGCGAGGCGCAGCAGGCGGCGGCGGCGGGAGAGCAGCTTGGCCCCGCGGATCAGCCCCAGCTGAAAGGCGGTGGCGGCGGAGACTGCAGCAAAGGGCCCGAGAGCGGCTCGGGCACCAAGAGAGAAGCAGGAGCCCAGCAGCTGCTGTCGCTGGCATTTGAGGCAGCAGGATACTCGCAGCAGCAGCCCGAGGTGTGCCCCGCTCTTTAATGCCGACTTGGGGGTTCCCTCTTCCACCCCCTGTCTCTTCCTCCCTCTCTTTCCCATTCCCCCTCTCGCTTTCTCTCCTCCCTCTCCTCCCTTACCCACTATCCTCTTTCCTCCCCCGTCTCACTCCCTGTTTCCCACCCTCTCCCTCTCCCTGCATCTCTTTCTCTTTCACTTTTGCATGCCCTGCAACCTTTTAAAATGTTGCCCCTTTCCTGTGATTCGTCAGACGCAGCAGCATGTCCCCTCTCTCTCTCTCTCTTCCTTTTGTCTCTCTCTCGCTCGCTCTCCTCCCCACTCCCTGTATTAGA